TACCACTACCAATGCTGCTGCTACTACTACTACTACTACCACCACTACTACTTACTACCACTACTACTACCACCACTACTACTACTACTACTACTGCTACTACTACTGCTACTGCTACTGCTACTACCACCACTACTACTACTACTACTACTACTACTACCACCACTGCTAACGCTGCTACCACAACCATCACAACTATTGCCGCTACTCTCGCTCATCCGGCTCCCTCCTACTCCAACTCCTACGGCTACGGGCACTACTGCGGCTGCCGCTTCTTCTGCTGCTATGGCTATTGCTAGTACGAAGACTACGGCGACGGCCGTGGCTACTGGTGACTGCTTCTGCTATCATAGTGTTCCCCTGATTGAGTTTACAGGCCGTCCTAAGTGACGGAAGGGACACGACCTGATTGCAACCCAGGGCGTTGTCACTCCATGATGGCCCATGCAGCCTAGGAGACCATGTGAATGTTAGGCTGAATCTCCACTTGTGCAAAATCCCCCCGATCTCACCAACACGGCTTATTTGGGAGCTTTATCTTCGGTACATCCAAATCCTGCGCTGTGAGGCAGGTCAGTCCGGGCACACTGGGTTCAGGTTGTGCAGTTTACTCTAAACCCCAAGAAAAAAACGCACAAAAATGCCAGGAATTCGTGACGGCACTAACCTCCATGGAACTGGGGCCTGGTTCCCAGACCATCTGCTTTGCATTCGGAGCGTCGGCTCAGAGCCCGACTTGCCAGCTGTCACCGTACATGTTTAGGGTTTAGAGTTTGGGGTGGCTCAGATCCAGATTCGATCGATTCAATCCCGAACAGCCCGGGATCAGCATTTATGCGGAATACTACTAGTGGTGCTGTGTTGCTTGCAAGCACCAGCATTATAACTGTGTCTGAAAGAGAGCCTACAGCAGAACAGACCCGGGAGTGTATAGCCCTTCTTGCAAGCAGCCCAAGACCTTGCTGCTTCAACCTTCATCCCCAACAGTAGCTCTTAGAGTACTTATGCTGCGGTCTTTGTAATCAAAGATTGGTTTGAAGCCTGCTTGGGTCGATGCGAAGCAGCTGTCCACTTGATCTCATCCGAGTGCATGCTGGTGGGGAGGTGAAAAAGAATAGCTTGGCATCCTCGCCATTGAAGGAGCGTAGCCCCGTGATAGTATATTGTATGACATTGTATTATGGTAGATTATGTATCTATTATCATCGTAATTATAGTACTATTGTAATGAACACGATTCCATACTCTGGCATCTTATAACAGTATGTATTAAAGTATCATGGTGGTATAGGATCTCCTTCTTACTTTTTGATGCTTGCCATACTGCCCAGGCTTACCCGGCGAGAGATCAATGCCATCATGTTCCAGGTGGATCAGGCGCGAATGATTTCGCCTTTCTGTAGACTTCAGGGCCATATCATCATCCTGAGCAATGTCATAGTCGTCACCATCACTGTCATTATTACCACCATCCTCATGACAATAGGGACTTGAGTATGTGCGTGTGCATGTATTTGTGTCTCCCTGTGTTCCTGGAGCCAGCGTTGGCAAAGGACACGAGAACTGTTTTTTCTTCCCACCCATGGTTTTTCCCGGAGTATCGGTGTGTTAATCTGTCCACCTTCCCCCTTATTCCACAAATGAAAGGGAGCATCCACGCGTTTGCACAGTCTGCTTTGCCTCTATACTCTCAATCTGCTGTGCTATCAAGGAGAATGTAGCCTCAGTGTGGAATACAATACGTACACAACTGAATCCGCGAACGGAGAAGCTCTTGAAGACTACCCCCTCAGAGGAACCTTACCTGCAAGAACTTATGCTTCGACTGCAACCCTAAGCCCAAAACCTTCTGCTTTGGATTTTGTTCCTACCTATAGTCTCCATTGTAGTTCCTTTTTTTGATTTAACCAATTATATATTAAGGATTTTATAAGGTATCCCCAAAAAGGAACTACAATGGAGACTATATATAGGCACAACCCTAAACCCTAAACCCTAAACCCCTTTGGATTTTGTTCCTACAGTGTGACAGGACCAGGATGGCAATGTCTCCTACAGAGAGTTTGTGCCCTTCGCCTTTGACTTGCTGCAGAAGATGGCGTCGCGGGGAGCTTAGAGACAGACGAGGGCTTAGGGTTTAGGGTTTTAAGCTTTTTTAACAGAAGCCCATTCCGGGGCCTTGTGAGCAAACAAAGCAGCTTGGGCATGTTGCACGTTTCGAGGGTCATGGGTAGTTTTACAAGCACAAGTACGATTGTAGAGCAGTCATGAACCTTCAGGTGTACGTTGAACATATTTTAGAAGTAAGCCCGATTCTGTGTAGAGTCCTAACCCCGTAATAACCCGTCTATGATCAGCTTGTTTTGGTATTGTCCTGCGCTCGTCCGATGATAGGTGGATTTCAAGGCTTGGGCCTTAGCCCAACCACGACAGAAGACGGGAAGTTCCCGAAACTGCGGACGGCAGTGCAAAACCTACACAGACAAGGACCCCTGAAAGCCGGATCCCCACGCGTGATCGCGCAGATTGCAAGTCAGCACCGCATGGCCTTTCTAAGCGATCGTAAGCCCAAGTGCTAGCCTGAAAGGGTTTAGGCGCGAAGCTGCAATGCTGCCGCCCACAACCAACCTCGCAGGGTCCCCAAACTCTAAGACTCTAAGCTCTTTAACGAAGACCCTTGTCATAGAGCGCCTTCTACCAGAGCTCTACACTAAGGGTCTGCCT